AGTGATCCCAACAGTAGAGGCTCCCTCAGGGACAGGACAGAGCTCTCTCTGCCCCATGCCACAATGTGCAGCTCTATTTCACAAAAGGGGAGCTGAGCTAGTGAGCCTGAGCTGCCAAAAGAAACAGATCCTACATATCCAGCTCCCAGGCCCTCCTCCCTCCTGTCCCATATTCCTCCTGTTGTTCCCTGGCAAGAACAACCACAGTCCAGGTGAGATCAGAGAGAATCACCCAACCCTGACAGAGTGTGAGAAATGACTGAGCAAACAAAGCACTTGAGTCTCGTCTGTGATTTTTGGCATGCAGCTCACCAAGCACTTCATGGGGGACACCGAGGTCATTTTTCAAGTGAGGGAACCAAGGACTAGAGAGACAAAATGAGCTGCCCAAGGTCACCCAGCATGTCAGAGACAGTCAGGAGCTGCATGCTGACTTTGCTCCCAAAGCCCATCTCACTGGGCCACTACTCCTCATGGCAGCGCAAACCTTCTGGAATTTTGGAGCAGGGCTACTTTAAACCTTTGTAGTTACACAGCATCTCCCTGAAGGCTTCTTGCCCCTGCCTAAGGAGGGACTCCCTTGTCTGATTTGGGATGCAGATTACCAGGCAGGGAGCTGGGCAGGCTGGGACACAGCTCTCATTACCCTGATGGGGCACGTCAGTCCCTCGTATTTCATCACCCACCTCTGAGCAGCACCACCAGCAGCTCCCCTGTGGTGCTGGCCCAGAGGGTCCAGCTCTGCTCCTGCTGCCTTGGCACACACTGAGGTGCCACCTCTCCTCTGAAGCCAGGCTTGGACTTAGCTGCAAAATGATTTCAAGGCACCACAAAACTTACAATCTCCTTCACCACGTTCTGCTGCTCCTGCACCGTGGCTGTGAAGGGTGGGAGGCTGTCTGCCTTACCGGAGCCAGCCCCCTGCTCTTTGGAGTCCTTGACAAAATCCACCTGCAAGGCACAGATTTGAGTGTCACTCTGCACTACGGCAGTGACAAAGCTCCTGCAAGGCTCCCCTGGGCTGGCAGTTACCTCTGAGGACAGGCACACGTATCTGTTGAACATGAGGAAGAAGGGGCTGTACTTGGTGGCGGAATTGACCGAGGTGCGGAACTCGAAGAGGACGGGGTCCAGGTGTGCGTCCCACTCGCTGGGCTTCTCGTTCACCACGCTGCAGATGGAGGCCCTGAGCACCTCAGCACTGCGGTCACCAGGGCTGGGAGGGTCTGTGGGGTCTGTGGGTGTGAGGAGCTGTGAGATGTTCCAGCGCTCGCACAGGTGCCGGCTGACCTGGGACAACACAGAGATCACGGCGTGTCAGCCCCACAGCAGCCTCTAAGGCACTGTACCCCCTGTGCCAGCAGAGGTGCAGCAGAAAACGCTCCCCAGAAAAATCAGAGCCAGAGAAAATGTTTTGCAACAACAGCTCCCATGCTTAAAGCTTCCCACAGCAGTGGGAAGCTGGGTTAATCCCAGGGTAGGGCTGGAATTTCGTGCACCTTGTCTTTCCTTCTGAGCAGAGAGGACTTGCGCCACTGATCCACAACCTTATATTGCTGCCAAGGTGAAAGCAATGGCAAATCAGCTCCCACTCCCAACAGGGGCAGGGATACGACAGCATCAGCACCTCACCCCACTACACAGCACATCACAACTCTGCCTTCAGGACCTGCTGCCTGCTGAAGGTCACATTGTCCAAAAAACTGGCTGAAGGTCACATTGCTTCCCCCTGAACCACCCCACACCTGACCTACCTCCTCACAGAAGTCCCAGCTCTGACTGGTGTAAATGTTCTTGGAGGCACCAAACCTGGGCAAGAAGAGGACACACAACTGGTTTTACTCCATCAGCTGAGGTGGAGCCCAAGGAGTTCCATTTTTATGGGTGCAAATGGGATAGGAAGGGGACAGGACCCTCCAGGGGAGCTGGTGCTAATGAGGCTGCCATGACTTCATGTCCCCAAGAGCAGAGAGGTCTGCTGGTCCCTCTGCTCCAAACCAGCCACGCCTGTTTGCTTTTGAATGATGAGGCAGCAGGAGAAATGAGAGCAGCTTCTTGCTCTGAATTCAAATCTCCACTGGCCCCACAGTGTTTTCCACAAGGACAATGTCATATGGTGACACGAACACTTTCTAGGAGAAATCTGGGAATGGCTTTAAAGATTCTGCAGAGAACTGGGACATAGCTCCCTTGGCCTCGGGCTACTCAGAGAAATGTTTCTGCCTCTTTCTTCTCAACCTGTAACAGGAGGATAACAGGCTCTTCCCAAGGACTTTGTAAAGAGCAACTGAGAGCCACTGCATGGTCTCCCCTGTAGAAGGGAGAATTCCTGCTCCCATAGGAAAACATCCTGAGGACACCAGGTATTTTTGCAACACACCCCAGTGCTCCCCACTGCACTGCAGAGGTCCAATGTAACCAACAACAGAGGAGCCCACCTGTAAAAAACAGTAGCCAGGGCTTTAGCCACGGAGAAGGGATCTTTCTTCTGCAGAGGAGCAGCCTCCACCCACTTGGTGAAGTAGTCAGTCACAAGCAGGACATGTGTGTTGCTCTGGCTTGTCTCAGGAAAAGGTCCTGCATAAACAGCCAACAAAAAAAAATCTATGTGATTCATGGGCAAAGTGAAAAACCCAGTTGCTGCAGAAGTCACCACGACTCTCTCCTGCAATGTCATTCGGCCAGAACATTTTAAGTGACCTTGGTCAGCAAAAATACACCCATGGGAGCTTCAGTTCTGGGGAAGAAGGCCCGCCCACAGCTCTCACCGTGTGTGCAGAGGGAGCTGAGCCAAGCCCAGGGATCAGGTTGCGGCCTGAGCGGCTGCTGTGGCTTCCTTGGCACCTCCTGAGAGGCAGCGGCAGCTTTCCCTCGGTGCGTGTGGCAGCAGGTCTGCCACGCTCCCGGCTGGAAGGGAGGAGCCCTGAGAGCCACTTGAGACACTCACTCACCATGGATGTCTAATCCCAGCACTTCCCAGGGGGATTCCACCCTGACGGGCTTGGCCTTCCGCGTCACGTTCTTGTTGTGCTCCGCGTTCTGGCACGTTTCACACATCTTGATCTGGAGAGGGAAAAGAGGGATCAAAGGACTTGGGAATGTGCTGATGGATCCTGTCAGACTCACACTGCACACTGAGACACACAGCAGGGCTGAGCACTTTCCTTTCTCCTGATAAAATAATGAGGTGCAGGAAAAAAAAGAGGGCAAAACACAATAGGCTGACGCATCTCACCTTTCACAAGGCTCACCTGACAGCTTTCTCTGACACAATAACCAATTTCTCAATGTGGCCTACAGCTAAGTTATTTCTCACCCTGTTTCCAGGCAAATTTTTTATTGTATTTTGACCTCCTGCTGGTTAGAGAAATCCTCAGCCCTAGGATGCTGGAGGAGCTTGGACCACACAATGCAAGCACACTCCTTAAACCACAGTGCTGCAGAGTCCTGCTGCAGGGACTGCCAGCAATGAAACAGGCGAGGCAAAGCGGCTGAGCAGACACCAAGGTCCTCCTCTTGCCATAGTTTAGGGAATTGGGCAGCTCTGGAAAGAATCCAAACTGCCCAAAGCTAGACTCAGCAACTTGTCAGAAACGATCCAACATTGCCATGCTGACCAAAACTGCTCCGCACGAGGAGGCTGAGGAGGCTCAGGGGAAGACATCCAGCCTACCCAGCTGCCTTGGGAGGTTCCAAGATCCACCTGCAGAATAACTCGGTGTGCGGCTTCCCAGCACATGCACAGGCAATGACATCATCCCTGCACCAAGGCTCCTGTGGCTGCTGCCTCGGGACTGCTGCCAGCACCGGTGTCACCGACACGGTCACTGCCTCCACTTACCCAGTCCACGACATCCTTCACGATGCCCAGCCAGTAGTACCGGCTCTGGATGCGGTGCACGGTCTTTTTCTGGCCCAGGTGGTTCCCGATTTCGGTGAAATGGCTTTCCAGGAAGACCTGACGCCTCCGCTCGGGATCCACGATCACCTCGCGCTTCTCCTCCTTCTTGGGTCCCACGTAGTAGAGGCAGCCGCCTGCGGATGCCAGAGGTTTGTCTGCAACAACGCCCTCCCACAGCTCGCCTCCAGAAAAGGGTCATTTTCCACACTGGGAAACCCAGCTGAGACACAGCTCCGGGGGCTGCGCTGCCTCGGGAACTCCCGCTGCCCCCGGAGAAGCTGCTAAACTGGAATCACGCCTACGCACGCCCACGGAGCTTTCTGCACCCAGGACCGTGTGAAATCCTCCGCTACACCAAAGCCGCCGTGGTCCCTCCCCACGGGGCAGCCGGGGAGCGGCGGTGCCGGCTCGGCTGACACGGCCCCCGGGCTGACACGGCCCCGCTCGGTGCCGCCGGGGCGGTGCCGGGGCACGGCGCTGCCCGGGAGCCGCATCCCCTCCCCACGCCGGGGCTCCGCCACATCCCCCCGTGTGTGCGGGACCGCCTTCCCCCCGCAGGATGCCGGCTGCCCCCGGGGCGAGCCGCGGCCCAGGGCAGCCCGACCCCGCCGCGCTGCCCCCGGTCCCCACCGTCCACGACGAACTTCTGGGCGTAGCGCTTGAGGTTCTTCCTCTTGATGGAGCAGAAGCTGGGCGGGAAGCAGCCCTCGGCCAGCAGCCGGTAGATGTCCTCGAACTTGCTGCCGTGGCCGCAGGGCTCGGCCGCCACCACCACCTCCCGCTCGGCCTCCGGCAGCGCCGCGTCCATGGCCGGGCCGGGCCGGGCCGGGCCGGGGCCGCGCTGCCCCCGCCGCCCGTGCGCGCCCCCGCCGCCCGTGCGCGCCCCCGCCGGCGGAGCTCAGGGACCGTCTGCAAAGAGCCCGCGGCGGCCGCTGCCGCTCCCAGCGGCCCCGGCCCGGCAGAGAGCCCTGCGGGGCAGCGGCCGCGCCGCGGTGGCGTCACGGAGGTGACAAAAACAACGAGCGTAAAACCGGGCAGAACGGGCGAGTCCCGCCGCTCTCCGTTCCGCCCCGGTTGGGAATTTGCCGACGCGCCCTCCCGCGGACGGAAGCGGAGCGCTCTGAGGGCAGGGCCGAGCGGCGTCCCCCGGCAGGAAACATGTCGGCGGGCCGGCCGTTCCGCGGGTGCGCCTGCTTTTTCACCGACAACATCTTCGTGGGGCGGTTCGGGCTGCACGTGCGGTACCGGGACGGGCCGCAGCTCCGCCGGGACCACGGCCGGGTAGCGCGGGGCCGGGCGGGGCCGGGCGGGGCCGTGCCGTACCCGCGGCGCTGACGGGCCCGTGTGTTGCAGGCGCTGCGGGAGCGCGGCTGCCGCAGCGAGGAGCAGCTCCGGGAGGTGCTGAGGGAGGTGAGCGGGGCAGCCCCCACGGCCACCGGCTGGGCTGGGCTCGGAGGGACATAAAACTCATCCCGGCCATGGCAGGGACACCGCCCGCTGCCCCAGGCTGCTCCAAGCCCCGGTGTCCTGCCAGGGATCCAGGGGCAGCCAGGGTGCTCTGGGCCTCACCTCCCTCACAGGGAGGAATTTCCCCCAAAATGCCATCTCCCCCTGCCCGCTGTCAGTGCGAAGCCGTTCCCTGTGTCCTGTCGCTCCAGCCCTTGGGAATTGTCTCTCTCCCATCGTTTTTTGTCGGCCCCTGCGAGGCCACACGGAGGTCACCCCAAAGCTTCTCCTGCCCAGCAGGACACCCCCAGCTCTGCCAGCAGCGCTGCTCCATCCCTCTGCCCATCCCTCTGCCTCGGGGCTCTCTGCAGCAGCCCCCGGTCCCGCGGATCCCCTCGGCACACGCCGGGGGTCGGTCCCCCGATCCCCGAGGGAATTTGGGACTCCCCGGAGCCCCCCGGACCCGGGGCGGAGCTCCCGGCACCGCGTCCCGACCCAGTCCCGAGGGAAGAACTCCCCATCAGCGAGGAGTTTATTCAGACAACACCCGGCAATTAAATCCTGTCATTCAACACCTCCCAGCGGCCGCAGAGCCGCTCCCTCCTTGGATTTACTCCGCTGGCTCCCAGTGCCCTGGTTTGTCTTTCCCCGTCCCTTCTTGTGCCAATCATTTGTAAAGGCAGCCCCGAGATGGAATCCTGCAGAAATTCACCCTTTCTCACGGAATCTCTGCTTCTTTCCAAGCCAGGGACAGGGATCAGTCACTCACCAGCTCCGATGTCACCTGACACTAAGGGGACAGACAGGTTCTTTTGGGAATTCTTGGCAGAATTATGGTGGCTGTAAATCATGCTGCTAATTAAAGCATTATTAACTGGGCATTATGATTCATACAGCAGAGAATTTATGAGTAGAACAGCATAGGATTTCCCCAGGCAGAATCAATGGAGCACAACGAGCAATGTAATACAGAATTTATAAAACAAGATCCTAACTTTGGCTGTAATTTATAATCACCTCGGTCCTAAGCACTTTTAAATCACCTGGGCTCTCTGCAGATCTGCTCAAAGGTTTGCTGTGTCAATATAAACATCAGAAAGGAGACTTAATTACATAAACAAATGTAATTTTAATAATAATAATAATGAGTGACCCAGTGCTGGCAGGAAGCAGGTGACAGTGGCTGTCCCTGGCTGGGGGAGGGCACAGCTCTCCCTGTCCAGCAGCAATTCCAGAACAAATTTCCCACTTAGAAGTTGATATTGGTTTTTTAGTCAGTGCTGAGTTACTGATTTCTGCCCAGGGACCTTGGGGCTGGGAGGGAGGGGAAGAGGAAGGAAGCTGAGAAATCGGTTTGATTTGTCTGCTTGGTCCCCAAGACTTTCAGGGCCTGACACTGAGGGAAAGGGAATGAACGCAGGAGCTGCTTGGTCCCAGGGAATGGCTGCTGCTCACTCACCCCTCAGTGAGGACTGCTACAAATGAATCTCAGGAGTGGGAAATAAATGTGAGGAGCTGTTGGATCAGCTGTTTGCTCTGAAAGGGCAGCTTAGCCTGTCTCCACCACACTTAGCAGTAATCCCTTCATGACAAGACCTGTCTCACTCCCACCAGGTGTCTTTATTTTGGACAATGCCTCTATTGTCAGAAAAAAAACCAGATTCAGGAGGTGTCCTAATGCCTGAAAGGGCTGAGATCTCCCAGCTCCTCTTGACACTTCCTCAGAAAAGTCCTCAGTCACTTTTTAAGCCAGGTGGAAAGGGAACATCAACTTCTCTCAGGCATTTGGCTTTCCAAATATTTGCTGGACTTGTCTTGGCCACGGAAAAACAAAGCAAACACTCTGTCTCCCAGAGGTGTCCCCAAACAAAAATAACTGCTTTAAAGAAATGAGCAGATTCCTGGAGCTGTTCTACTCAGCCCTGCTGATTTCTGACAGTGTGCTCTGTTGTTTACCTGCAGGTTGAGGCAGAGGTGCAGAGAAGGAAACAGTTAACCCATCAGTCAGTGGAACGCAGAGCAATCATCTCCAAGTGCTACAAACCGAAACACCCAGAGGTGTACACGCTGCAGGTACACAGAAGGTTTGGAATCTCTTTTGCACACAGAAAAAAAAAAACCCTGAGATTTTTATTTTGTCAGTTTATTTTCCCCTCTCCTTGGGATTGCACAGTGCTGAAGCTGCAACTGAATTAAAACACAGGTGTAGCATGTGAAAACTGGATTTAAAACTTTAAAAACACAACAGCACAGTGTGCTCTCCAGGCAGGATTCCTGGTGTTCCAGCCAGGAAAGGCTCTTTCCTGCCGTGTTTGTGATAAATCTGACCAGTTACTCCTAAAAAAACCCATGAACTAAAGCAAGCAGCAACTCCCCTGCCCCACCAGGTAAAGCACCAGTGCATTCTGCATTTCCTGCCGTGGAATTACCCAGTGTGACTCAGCCTTGCTCCCTAGGGACTGGGTACTTCCCTGGGAGTCCATTTCCCTCGCGGGCTGTGCAGGCTGATTGTGTTTCTGTGTGCTTTTCCCATCCCTCCCTTGACACCAGGATTCCTTCCTGGCCCCAGAGTTTCTGGAAATCGAGAGGTTCTGCACATCTCCAGCTGCTGATCTCCAAGGCCTCCTGAGCTACCTCGAGTCCTTCTCAGGTAAAGAAAACAGCACCTCATGCACACAGATCTCCCTGGTGACAGCTGTTCCCAAGGCCTGTGGAACAGCTCTGCTGTGACACGAGCTGAGGCACTCAGGATGCTACTCCTGCCTCAGGAGGGTCTCTGGAGAGGCAGCAGTTCTGCTCTGGATCAGAGGCTGTTTTCTGCTTTCCCATCCCAGCCTGCTGATGTCTCACCAGAGGCTCCAGCTGCAGCAGGGTTGGGATTTTGGTTGTACCACACCTCACCAGGGAGCCTGCTAAGGGAGCACTGGGAGCCCAGGGAGCTTGGTTTTCCCTCCCTGGGTGCCTTCCCATTGCAGACAGTTCCTGTGGGTTAGTCTGGGCTGAAACAGCTTCAGTCTAGTTTCAGTCTTTGAAAGAGAGAGCTGGGCTTTCAGCTTCCCTGGAGGCAGCTGTGGAGCTCCCTGCCTGCCAGAAAAGCTGCCAAGATGCAGAGGGGAAGAGGCAGAGCTGCCTCCTTTCCTCAAGGCAAAGGACAGCAATGTGTGTGTGCAGAGCTCCTGGATTTATCCAGGGCACCAGTTCCAGACACAGCCTTCTGCTCTGGCAATGGGGGACCAGCATGAGAAACAACAAATACAGCCCAGGGCTGATCCAGGAAATGTCCCAGCACAGAGTGGGGCCTGTGGGAGCTGTGCTCTCAATGCCACCAGCACAGCACTGGACAGGCAGGCAGGAGCACTGGGAATCTCCCCAGCAAACCCTGTCCCCACAGATAAGAGGATCTATCGACTCCCAGTGTTCACAGAGCAGTTCTGCCAGGCCCTGGTGGATGAGCTGGAGAACTTTGAGCAGTCGGATATGCCCAAAGGCAGGCCCAACACCATGAACAACTACGGGGTAAGACTCATCTTGTGCTTCCTTAGGGGCAGCGTTCACTGCTCACCTCCTCACTTCCCTCCAGTCCAAGGGGCTCTCATTTCACACTTGAGTTCACAGAGCTGAGGGAATGTTACAGGGACAGAAGAACGTGGGAATGCAGGGGAAGGGGAGGGAGTTGATAGCTCAGAGCAAAGAGCACCTTCTCCTCCAAATTTAAATCAGAGACAGTTCTTAAAGAGCACTCACCTTTTGATCTTATTACTCTGTGTTTTCCCCCATCCCTCTCCACCTTGATCCTCCTTCCTTTTCCTGGAGCTGGAGCCTTTGCTCCAAAGTGACCTGAGCCAGCAGCAGGGCTGGAGGAGGACAGAGCAGACGATGCTGCTGAGCTGCTCCCCGCTGCTGTCCTCGGCACAGGTTTTGCTGAACGAGCTGGGCATGGACGAGCCTTTCCTGACGCCGCTGCGGGAGCGGCTCCTGCCCATCACGGCCCTGCTGTACCCGGAGCTGGGCGGGGCCTGCCTGGACAGCCACAAAGCCTTCGTGGTCAAGTACTCCCTGCACGAGGACCTGGACCTGAGCTCTCACTACGACAACGCTGAAGTCACCTTGAACGTTTCCCTGGGAAAAGAATTCACAGAAGGAAACTTATACTTTGGGGATTTCAACCAGGTACTGAACATGTCCCACTCACCTCTCCCTCCTCACCCCTCAGCTTCAAGGCATCCACTGTGCTCTGCAAAGCAGTTCTTCACTTCTGGCAGTAGACCTGCTCTGTCCCTTCCCCATTTTTTTCATGGCCTGGTTATACAGGAGCCTCTTTTGCTGCAATATTCCCATATCCAATACCTACATTCACTATCTTAAAGAGAGGACAGACACAGCTTCACAGTAGAAACTGGAGTGAAACAAACCATCCCCTTTCTGCATCTGAAACTGTGAGCAGGGTGGTGCTGAGGGAGAGATTTATTTCAGATGTGACTTCAACCTAAATCTCCAGTGCCTGTTTTTAGGGCAAGAGAGGGGCAGAAGCTCCCATGCAGCAGTGAAACATGGGGTTTTTTTCTTGAATCTCTCTAAATTCCCTCTGACCTTGGCACTGAGCATGAGGGTTTGCGCTGTGGGGTAAGAGGTGACAAATTTAAACCATCTGAGGGATTCAGTGGCGTGACAGCAAATCCCCCTGCCTTTGTTCCAGGATCCCAGCCCCGTGCCCAAGTACATCGAGGTGGAGCATGTGGTGAGCCGGGGGCTGCTGCACCGGGGCGGGCAGATCCACGGGGCCCTGCCCATCGGCTCGGGGGAGCGCTGGAACCTCATCGTGTGGATGAGATCCTCGGCGGTGCGGAACCAGCTGTGCCCCATGTGCCACAGGAAACCCCAGCTGGTGGAGGCTGAGGGCTTCGGGGACGGCTTCACAGAGCCCCAAGTGCAGGAGGAGCTGCCCCAGCCCGTCAGTGCTACCTTGGGGTAGCAGGGGGGGATTTCCCCTGCTGAGCTGCCCAGAGCTCCTTTCTGAGCTCCCAGGCTGCACGGGTCCTGCAAGGAGCAGCTCTGCAAAGCCAGCCCTGCCAGGATTCCAGCTGGAAGAGCTGGAACGGCTCCTGAGGGCTCAGGCTGGGGCTGGAGGACTCTGTAAGGCACAGAAACCCCAACTCTGATCCTCTGCAGGAGCTCTGTCGGTATTTCCACGTGCACAAGGAAAACAGCCAAAGCGCCTTGGCCTCTCTGCCAACAGCAGCACCCCAGGTCCCACTGGAAACGGGCAAGGATGGTACAATAAACCATTTCTCTGCGTTCTTAGGGCCTCCTGTCCTCTGCCAGGGGAGGGGAAGAGCTTTGTGTTACTGAGTGGCCAGGAAGGATCTGCTCAGGAATGAGATCCAGGTGATTCATAAAGAGCTGCTGGGAATTACCATCACTGGATGTTTGTCTAACCCAGGCTCAGAAAAACCCACCAGGAGCAACGCTGATCCCCCAGGGTGGCTGAGAGATCCCCCAAGGCTTCTTGGGAGCAGAAACTTCCCTTTCAAAGGTTTTGTGAACCTTATTAAGCAGAGCCAGAGCTCTGGGAGCCACCTGCAGCACAGCAGAACTTCCCAGAGGAGGACAAGATGTACATTTAACTCTCTTTGCTTAAGTTACATGAGGAAGTGAAAATATAAAATAACTCTGCCAGCCTGGATGCAGCAGCAGACAAGGCCTGGGGCTTCTTAATTTGGCACCAAGATCCCCCAGGATCTGATGGATTAGAAGGGTCCAGTGCTTTCCCCTCCTTCCTTCCAGCATGTGACTCTTCCCCCTACTAAACAAACTAAAGAAGCCAAACAGCTTCTGATTTCTCCGTGGAAAATTAACCCAATGTATTCCATAAATTACCTCAATGTATTCGATAGATGCTGCTGAGTTCATGAGGGGTTTTCCATTGATGCTCAGTGCAGTAATTAGCGCACAAGGGCAGTCACATCGGTAACTGTGCAAGGCTGAACCTGAGCGGGTGAGCTCGCACAAAAGGGGTTTATGGGATTTTGGCCGGGGCTGCCATTAGCACAGGGCGCTGATGAGCTGCTCATTAGCAAAGCTCAGTGAAATTACACCGGGGGAAGGAAACCGGCGCTTGTATCTGAGCGAGGAGTCGCTACCAAAAACGCGGCCTCGAAGCCTTTACCTTGTTCACTGGCGAACGTGAGCGCTCCCAAATCTGCTCGAATCCACCCCAAAAACTGAGCTGCGGCCCGGGCGAGGCGGCCCCCGGAACCAAAGATCGCGGCCCGGCTGCCGCCCGGCCCCGCGCGCGGCGGACGGGGGCGGGAGACGGCCAGCGCGGCCCCGGCGGCGGGAGCCCCGCTCGGGGCGGCGGGACCCGGCCCGGTGAGTCCCCGCTCCCTCCCGCTCCCCGTACCTGCGGCGGGCCCGGGCCGGGCGCCTGAGAACACCGGAGAAGGGCGGGCCGGGGGGCGCAGGCCCGAGTACTGCGGCGGCCCCGGGCCGGGGGGGGGCGCATAAAGAGCTGCGCTCTTAAAGGGGCCGCGCGCGCAGAGCGCGCCCGCGCAGCTCTTAAAGGGCCAGCGCGCCTCGTGCCGAGCTCTTAAAGGGCCAGAGCACCTCGTGCCGAGCTCTTAAAGGGACAGAGCGCCTCGTGCCGAGCTCTTAAAGGGCCAGAGCACCTCGTGCCGAGCTCTTAAAGGGCCAGAGCACCTCGTGCCGAGCTCTTAAAGGGACAGAGCGCCTCGTGCCGAGCTCTTAAAGGGCCAGCGCACCTCGTGCCGAGCTCTTAAAGGGACAGAGCACCTCGTGCCGAGCCCTTAAAGGGACAGAGCGCCTCGTGCCGAGCTCTTAAAGGGACAGCGCACCGTGCGTGCCGCAGGCTCCCCGCGCCGGGACAGCCCCGGCAGCCCCAGGGCCGGGCCTGGGCAGCGCTGGCCGGGCAGGAGGAGTCGCTGTGGGCCCCGCCTGGTGCCAGGGCGGAGCTGAGAGCCCGGCTTGGGGCACAGCCAGCCTGGGATGCTGCTGGGGCGGATTTGGGATTGTCACTGGGATGCCGCTGCCTGAGCCCAGCTCCAGGTCACCGATCCTGCTGCTGGGGGTGTACTACAAGGGGTTTTTTCTGCTGCCACAGCCAGAACGGAGAGATCCAAGCCCTTAACGCTGTCCCCAGCAAGGCCTTGGTGCCAGGGGCAGCTGCTGGGTGTGTGTGCATGGAGGACTCATCCTCTCATCCTTCGCTGTAATGGTTGTGATTGGTTCTGGGGTTTGTTTTCTGATTGAAATTTCCCTATGGAAATCAATCAAAGGTTTGATTTGCTTGGGAGCAAATCCAAACTGCTGCCTGGGAATGTTGAGGTGGTAAACAAGCAATTCATTAAATGTGGAGGTTGGAAGGTGGCTGTGAGAAAGCGTTTCCCAGCTCCTGCTCTGCCCACGGTGCCAGTTTGTTTTTTAAATTAATGAGAGCATGGCTCACAGTGGCCTGGGGCCGCCAGCATCCCTGGGGCTGATGGACAGGGGTAACAGCTCAGTGCATCATCTGTTTTCTAAGAGTGAATTGGAATATTAAAAATTCATTCTTCCCCTTGGCTTGTGCCTGCTCGCAGCAGGGTACCAGGGCTATTGACTCGGGGAAGAAGTTTTGTTCTGCTGGCCGTGGCTGGGTGTCCATCTCCCCCTGCCTGTGCCTGCGTGCTGCAGCTTCTCCTGCTGGCTGTGACCCCCTCTCTGCAGTGGGGACTGCAGGAGCGCAGGGAAAACCTGCTGGAAGGTGGAAAACCCGCCTGGGGACAGCTGTGTGGGGCAGCTGAGGGCTGTCCCTGTGGCAGCTCCCTGCCCAGGGCTCCCTGCTGGGGGCTGGATGGGCAGAGCGGGTGTGAGCAGGGAGGGAGGTTAACAGGAGCAGGATTACCAGGGCTTTGGCTCAGTGGAATGAAGGGTTTTGGGGCTGCTGGGCAGGGCTGGTCCCCTGATGTGACCCTTCCCCCCAGGAGCTGCCATGGCCCACAGCCGCTCTCGGAAGCGGTCGCGGAGCAGGAGCAAGAGCCATTCTCGGAGCAGGCAGGAGAGGAAGGAGAAGAAACGGAGGAAGAGCAGCAAGGACTCGCAGCAGGGCGGCAGCTCTCCGGTGAGGAAGAGGATCTCTGGCTCTCACGGACACACCTCGAGCTCGGCAGCAGCCAGGGAAGGTGAGGAAGGCCCCTGAGCCTGTGCTTACACCACATTTCCCTGGGGCAGGTGCACAGAGAGGGCCCGAGGGGAGAAGAGAGTCCCTGGTTCTCGTTGGTGTCTGTCACCTCATCCTGCACTTTGTGCCCACTTTGGTCTCGTTCTCACAAGTGCAGAGCCCTCAGCCCCGCCATGAGCTGAGCTGGCTGGGACACAGAGCATCCTGGGCTGAATGTGGGCACAGAGGGGGAATTCCAGGCTGGAGGGAGATAAACCAACATCTCTGCTGGTGCAGGGCCAGGGCTGCTCCACTCACCCTCTCCTTGTGTGTTGCAGAAAAGAAAAAGGAAGGAAAGGACAAGAAGAAGAGGAAGGCCAGTACCTCTTCCTTTGGGACATCCTCGTCCACCAGCTCTTCCTCATCCTCCTCTTCTTCCAGCTCTTCTTCTGATGACTCCAGTGACAGTGACTCCAAAGTGAAGAAGAGTCAAGAGAGCAAAAAAAAGCAAGTGAAACAGAAAGATAAAAAGAAGAGGAAGAAGAAGAAGAAAAAAATTAAGAAGAAATCAAAAAAGAAGGCAAAGGAGAGGGCTAAAGAGGAGAAAGCCAAGGGAGAGGAGGTGCCCGGCCCCTCGCTGGAGCAGTGGCAGAAGGAATCAGTGGTGGACTCTGGGCCAGGTAACGAAGCTCTTTCCCTCCTGCTGGAGCCTGTGCACACAGGAGTTGTGCTGCTCCCTTTCCATGAGGGGTGTTGAGGGAGGCAGGGCTGGGTACAGGGAGGAGCCCCTGGCTCCCCTCCCTTTGCCCACCTTTGAGCCACACTCAGAGACTGGTTTGTAAAGTGTTAGGATGTGGTTTATAGATGTGAGTGGGGAACAAAGAGGCCAAATGGAAGGACACAGCAGTAAATCCTGGCAAAGCTGGTCCTGGCTTTGGGATGTGAAACGTCCCTTTCTTTGCGAGGTTTGTCACCACACCCCGAGCACTGCCGGGAATCAGTGTGGGATGTTGTCTGTGGGCTGAAGCCCTGGTGCTGTGCCCCTCTCCTGACTGAGCACTGCACTCCAGTTCTGACAGATGAACAGAAATCCCGGATCCAGGCCATGAAGCCAATGACCAAGGAGGAGTGGGACGCGAGGCAGAGCGTCATAAGGAGAGTGGTGGATCCCGAAACGGGGAGAACCAGGTATGACCCTGGGGAAAAGGGAGATGGCTTCTCCATTCCCATCCGTGCTGAGTGGGCTGCAGGCCTGCAGGACGCCTGTCCATGGCACTGCAGCACCACAGCTGAACCCAGGCTTCCTTCAGCAGCAAAGGCCTGAGCCAGCCCCTCACAGGTCCCCCCTCAGCAGGCCTGGTGTGACTTACCCAGAAAGTGACACAATGACACCAAATCATTGAATTGTGTCCCTCCACACAAGGGACACTGGGCTGTGTCCCAGTATCCCACTGTCGCATCCAGTTACCTTTCAGCTCCAAAGCCCTGGGCACCAGGTGGGAATGAGGAGCTTGTGCCCTGTGGGGCTACAGACAGCGATCAAACCCAAGTTCATTTAGCTGCCAAACAGAAATGACCCAGTTTTTAATAAACTGCATCTTCTCAGCAAGCAGAAAACGTCATGCTGAAGAGAATTGGGTATGACAAGTCCAGTCTTAAAATAGAAGGCAGCCTGCAGGGCTCAGGGAGGTGTGGAACAAAGGTCGGTTCCCTGTAAGGCACGTAATGAAGACAATTAAATTTCTGTTCATGTCTGGAGGTGTGAGCCACCTCCAACACTGCATGGAATTTGCTCAGCAAGATATTCTCTGGCCTGGCTGCATTTCAGGCCCAAACTGGCTCCTGTTCCTGAATGGCTTTGCACTTTCCTGGGGCAGCCAGGACCACACCTGAATTCTATGAAAAAAAAAAAAAAAGAAGAGGTTTTACATGAGTTGAGGCACCGTGGATTGTACGGTGACAGGGATGCTTTTATTAGGAGTGCCAGTGTGACTGACTGCACACAGCAGGCAGTGCCCACAGCCTGGGGCAGAGCCAGCTGGCCCTCAGTTCTCAGGGGAACACTCCTGTCCTTGCTGCAGTGTGGTGACATTAATCCCACGGGAGCAATGGCAAAGCCTGCTGTGCTGTTACAAAAAAAGCTTGATACAAAAACAAAGTCACAAAATGACAATGTCAGGGGTGGGTCAGCACTGGCCTTGCCTGGAGGTGCATCAGCCCAGCAGCTGCTCCTGGGTCTGGGGGAGCTGGGGTGCAGCAGGTGCCCTCGGGGTGGGGGTCAGCACCTTTGCAGCTGCAGGAACTTGCCAGCACCCTCACTGGCTCCTGTGCTTGTCTTGCAGGCTCATTAAGGGGGACGGGGAAGTCCTGGAAGAAATCGTCAGCAAGGAGAGGCACAAGGAGATTAACAAGGTAGTGGGAACTGGCATGAGCTGCACGGGGTGGCTGGGCACAGCCAGGGAGCTGCTGCACCCAGAGGGGCTGTGCTTCCACCCTGGGGACAAGCTGAGCCCTGGCAGCACTGCCAGGGCCCCCGGGGTGGTGCTTGTGGTCCTGCAGCCCTGGGCAGGGAGTGCTGTGAGTGCTGCGTGTCCCTTGCAGCAAGCCACGCGTGGGGATGGGCTGGCATTCCAGGTGAGGACGGGGATGCTGCAGTGAGGGCAGGCACCAGCCAGCCCAGGAGCCCGTCCTGCTGCCCCTGCCAGCCCGGGGAGCCTCTGCCTCTGGACCACGCAGACAGCACCGTGTCAAGATGTTCCCCAGGGGCCCTTTCCAGCTGCTCTGTAAGTTACTGACTGGGAAGGAGAGTGACTTTAGTGGCTCATCTCCCAGTAAACAGCTTCTCCCCTCCCTGTCCCAGCTCAGGCCAGTGTGGCTGTAATGTACCTGAGCCATTTGCCCCAGTGCTCCTCTGGATACTGGAGGAGCTCAGCAGCACCCAGGGGACAGGCTCAAGGGTGCTGAGCACCTCAGGGTGCTCTGGGCTTTGTGGGGTAGGAGCCAACGCTGTGGCCAGGACAGGGTGTACCAAGGCCACGAACACGCAGCTGGCTGCCACTTCTTTCCTTCAGGGGCTGCCCATGGCCCTTTCCCTGCTGGATCTGGCTCACAGGCCTCTTGCACTCACTGGCCCTGCCCAGAGAGGAGTGGCTGTGGCTCTGCTCAGGCTGCAGCTCCTCTGCACCCCTGAGTGCCACCCTCCACTGTGCCCTGGGGCTTCTCCAGCCTTTCTGCAGCTTCACCTCCTCGGGTAGGGGAGCACTGACCTGGCACACGGCACTGGCATCTGTGCAGGTGTGCTTTGTGGAGAGGTGGCTTTGCCTTGCTCTCTGCTCCTGCATGCAACTCGTGTCCCTTCCCCACAGCGCAGCGCTGGGGCTCTGGGCTTCTCACGGCCCAGGGCTGCCGTGAAGCAAACACAGCAGCCTTTTCCCTTGCTGGAAAGTCCATAAATCTATAAACTGTAAAAAAGAAAAGGAGAAATGGGTTAAACAAATGGGTCCTGCAGGACTGATCTCCACAGAGGGTTTCCTCATTCTGTTCATGGCTGTAACTCCATTAAACTGGCACCTGCTCACATTTGATGACTTGTCCATTTCTAGAGTATTCCCCCACCCCAAAAAAAAGCAGACAGAGTAGAGCCTTCCCATTTCTTTAATCTGTGTAACTCACAATGGTACTGTACACAAAGCACACCAGGCATTGGAACGATGCACTAACAGCAAGGAGGAGAAGGAAGTTGTACAGAAGGTTTGCCACACACACGCGAGTCATCGGCACGGCACACGCGGGGCGTACCCGGCGCCCTCGGGCATCCCCTGCTGGTTCCCCACGCACAGCTGGTACCCCTAGAGCAATTTTTTATAAATAAAATATAACTAACATTGTTGGAATATAAAATTGTCAGTCGAAGGTATCAACAGGCAGAGGGAGGGGACCGTAAGGCTTCTAGAACTAATAGGAAATGCAGCAAACAGTGGCGATACCTGAAGAAGGGGCTGCTACAGCAAGCACGGCAGCTGCTGGGAGGGTGGTGGTGACCCTTTGGCTGATTTCTGCTCTGGGCTCGTGCCCCCGACACTGTAAACGGTTTTTGGTATTAGGATTTCACCTCATCTGACTGAGTGATCTGAGCAAACCCCAGAAAATGACTCGGAGGGAATGCACGGGCTCCTCTCACTGGATTTTTAAAAGACTTTAAAGGGACAGCGTCAGGTAGAAAGTCCGGCCTAAGGGTGCAGTAATATAAAAAGCTGCTTTTCATAAAAAATCTGAGCTCTGCAGCAGAGTTTGATTCCCATGGAAACGGAAAAGCAACCCCAAAGCCCGAGGCTGTGTTGTGCTGATGTGCAGAACAGGACGTGGGCTGTCACCGAGGGCTGCCCAGACAACGGCCGAGGGAGGAGGACAAGAAACTTCCCATTCTCTCCTTTCCAAGCAAACAAATTACTCATAACAAGGATAAATTAGGTCTTTACCCTGACAGTGCCCCTTTAGCAAGGATGGAATATACATTCATCTTGCCCTCACCACATCCAAACGGATCCTCTTCCATACACGTGGAAAGGCATCGGGTCACATGCATTGCTCTCCAAAACAGCTCGGGACAAACAGGTTATAAACACAGAGTTAAACTATTGCTATTGTTCTGTGAGTGTTGATCTCTGCTTCAGAGGGATGAGTGCCAGATGGGGGCGGCTGAGTATTGAGCGATGGAGACGGGGATGGACTGAGTTGGTGAAGAAAAACTTACTGGCATTATTTCCTGGTAACTACACCCACCTCCCAGGGAATTATTGCAGCAATAAAGGTCCTGCTCTACAATTGCTTCTCCGTGTTGGATCCGTACGATGGCAACAGATGCGGGGCCAGGGGAAGGACCCGGGCAAGGTTCAAGAAGCTCAACAAAGGATGAGGACGGAGGTGCTGTGATTGTCAGGCTAACTGTTAGGAGCTGTTTAAAACATGAAGTGATGGAGAGGGTGAGTATCATATTGCACTTCTGCATTCATTGACAGTTACATTAAACTTGGTCCATAAAATAATTGCTTTGTACATAATGCCTGAAACAAAAAGCTACATTTTTAAAATATTAATAAACCCTGAAGGTTCCAGTCCCTCCATTTTTTTTCCTCTACATAAATAAATAACTTTCAACTTTATATATCCACTTTTCATGTTGAACATTTACATTCGCCTGTTTTACACTATCTACACATAAGAAATGTGAACATCTCGTCAACTAGAAAATGTACAGGTCATGCCTTGGTTCTGGACTCGGAGGAAAGGTGAATTTTGCAAAGGCCATATCCAAATTTGCAGGAATTATTTAGTGATGTGGTTTGGTGACTTCACAGAATGGATTGTGGCTTGGCTTCCTACTCAGATGGCATCTGTTTGACAGAACATTTGGCTAGCAAAAAGCTGGGACAAATTCACATTGTTTTCAAACCCAGTAAAAGCTCTGGATGTACATTCAGAGAGAGCCAAGCTGAGTCAGCAGAAAGGGAAGTCAGTTTCTGGTAACAAAAAGTCATCAGGTACATTCTGTACTTGGACAATTACCAAAGAGAAGTGGTTAAAGGTTTTGCAGTTGGGTCTGAGCGCTCCAGGGGCTCTGATGCCGGCGGCAGCTCCGCACTGTCCCTGCTCTGCCTCAGCCTGGACCCTCCACACCACGAACACATGAGTTGGATGAGTTGGATTTGCCTACCGTGGCCCAGAGGCAGTGAGCAGAGCAGCGTTCACAGTGCTGTGTATCTCAGTGCGGCCGTCCTGCACCGTTCTTATTGAAACTGGTAAGAAAATGAAGCAGCCAGTCTAAAAAATTCTCTGTTATAAATAAGATCCTCGTAAGTAGAAAGTGATACAAAGACAGGAGAGTGTGGTGGGGAAAGCGGGGTTACACACAGTCAGGGAGCTCGGTAGGACTAGAAAATCTCCACGTGAAGAGGCCAGCTGGAGTCTGTGAGTGGGCACCTGGAACCCCCTGTGTGGCTGCCCCCCGCCCCGGGAGGTGTGTGCAAGGAGGTAACCTTTGCTGGCCCCGGGAGGGACAGGGCTGAGGGGCTTTCTGGCAAGCCCTGGCTCCAGGCACTGTTCTCTGTCCCTGTCTGGGTGTCACGGGGTGCCAGCCCTCTGCCACGCACCCGCCGGCTCGCTCCAGCAGCACAAACCCAGTGCCTCAGGCACATCCACTGAGAAACACACCAGAAAAATTAAGATATGGCCTTTTCTTAAGGTTGCCTGACATTGTTGGCACACTTCCTTACAGTCTCCTTACTGCTGGAAAAACTTCTGCACAGATTGCCTTTTTTTTTTAATATATACATATATATATGTGTGTGTGTGTATGTATATATGTATAGATATCCACACACACCCTGGCTTAGCAATATTTCTTTGTCATGCACTACAAACACTGGTGTAGCTACATGAGATGGTAACAGGTTTCCATTCTAAAAATCATCAGTGCAAAAAACAATGAGGTTTTACAGTTCAGTAACTATAGGTAAAAGAAGCGAGTCTAGTTCCCATGAAAGCTGCTACTGAACTTGGAGAGAACCTGGGAAGAAAAAAGGTCTCAGAGGTGGACGTTGAGAGTCAGACCCTGCATTTGGATGAGAAGAACTGCAATGTAATCCAGCTGCTGAGTGCCTTCAGCTGCTTCCAAATATATGGTGGTTACTTGTTGGAAATAATACATAGCGAGACTATTTGGAGACTTAACAGCAATTAAGTGTCTGAGGTTTGTAACAGCTCAAACAAAATAGCTTGTATTCCTCTTTTAATAGGTCAACACATTAAATTCCATCGGCTTCTAAAAGATCTGTGTAAAAAATAACAGTAATAACAATAATGACCCCGCTGTCTTGGGCACGAATCTGCCGACATTCTGCCTCTGCCAACGGCCTCGATGCAGCTTCAGCTTTGCACTGCACCAGCTCCTCGAGAAAGTGGCTGCACGTGGAGCTCTCTGTCCAGGAAAAGCTCTCGGTTGCTCTGCCTGGCACAGCCCACAACAAATCCCTGGCTGGGGCCGGGGGAGCGGCGGTTACCCAACCCCAGAGCCCCCATCCGACTCCCGGGACAGCCCAGAACACGCTCCCCCAGCCTCGTGCCCTGTTCCTGTGGCTCTGAGGACAGCACTCGGTGGCCGTGTGGGAGCGATGGCTAACAAGGCGAGGAGGCACCTATTTACAGTCACTGACCCTGGATGAGAGAGGGAGGCAGGAGAGGTGCCCTCCTGATCTGGAGACTTCTCCCCGATTTCCAGCTGTTCCTCGGGCTCACGCTGCAAGGCCTGCACGCTCTGCGTGGGAAACATCCCCTCTCTTCCCAGAACACCGTGTTTATTAGAGTAGCACCATATTTACCCTTCCAGCCCGAAACACTGGCCTCGTCCCTCTTTCATTTTCTCCTCTGGTGGCTGCAGGTGACAATCCTGGCTCCGGCCCGGCTACTTCTGCCCCAAGAAGCCAGACTCCAGGCGGGACGTGGCGCTGCGGCCCCAGCAGCCCGTGGCGATGCTCATGCTCCGCTGGCTGCGCTCCCTGTCCCTGTCCTTGTCGCTGTCCGACTGGCTCTGGGTGCGCTCGGGCCGGTGGCCGGCGGCCGCGGGCTGGGAGGAGATGGTGCGCAGCAGGTGGTTCCTCTTGCGCAGGAACTCGGCCTGGCTGGGCAGCCCGAAGCTGCCCTTGCGCAGCGCCATGCGCGTGGTGTTCTTGGCGGGGCGCGCGCGGTGGTTGTACTCCAGCTGGGCCAGGTGGGCTGCATAGCCCTCCGTGATGAACTGCGGGGTGAGGGCAGGCGTTAGAGGGGTGGGACGTGTTTCCCTGAGAGCCACTGGCAGCCAGAGATGTTCTCTCTGCCAGGTTCTCTGGGGTGACCAGCCATGGAACCGCTCACACCCATGACGTGGCCCTGCTGCCTGGACAGCTCAGTCACCAGACTTGTGATGACCAAATTCCCACCTCCCTCCCATGGGGGCCCTTGGCAGCACCTCCAGGGCTCAGCCAAGTTGGCTCCTACCTGACACTGGCTCTGCAGCTTCTTGGTGGGTCGGCCAACGATGTAGATGTGCGTGGGCGGGAGGCTGATGGAGCTGTACACGGAGATGTCCTTGGTGGATCCATACGCTGCGTGGATCCTCATGTGCAGCTGGGGGACAGAAAGCAGCACGGGGTCAGAACACACTGGCACCCCATGCTGCTCAGCAGGCTGGGCTTTGGGGTTTCCAGTAGCATTTGTGGGAATCTCAGGTCACAGGAAGTAATGCAAGTTCCCAGCTGGGTCATGAACCACCCAGGGAAGAGCTAATTAACAGAGCTGGGGATGTTTACAGGCCGTGACAAGAGGAGTGACAGGGATACAACAGCAGATCTCCACTTGCTGATCCATGGCCTTCCCTTGAGGTCTGCAGGGGGCAAGGATGCTGCACACTTCCCTGCTGTCACTGGGGGAGAGGAGCTGCAAGCCTGTGCAGGAATCATTAGCCAGGAACGCTCCCCGCCACAGCCAAGCTGCTGTTACCTGCTGGGCAGGGGAAGAAGGGATAGTCAGCAAAACCTGCTGCTTTT